GCTGCTAGACTAGAGACAGGAGACCAAAGGTCATAGGTCAGTTTGGCACTGTTGTTGTTTATTCCCATAGTTTTGTCCATAGTTCTGTACGGCTGGGCAGATACAGGATGGACCTGGAAAGCCAACGAGGGCAAATAAGTTCCTGGCAATCACTGTCATGCAGGATGGCCCATTTATCTGATTCAACCTATATCTTATTTGGTAAACTACTAAATCAAAAGATTACAAACACTTCTCTTTTTCTATAATCAAAATATAATCTACATGTGCCAAACTACAAACATTAATAAATATATTTTGCCAAACCAAAATAGAACAAAAAAACTGAATATTCCTAATATCACTAATATTTCTTTTTTTTTTTTCTTTTTTGAGGTACCTGGGATAGAACTCAGGGGCACTCAACCACTGAGCCACATCCCCAGCCCTATTTTTAAATTTTTATTTAGAGACAGGGTCTCACTGAGTTACTTAGCGCCTTCTTTTGCTGAGGCTGGCTTTCAACTCATGATCCTCCTGACTCAGCCTTTAGAGCTTCTGGGATTACAGGTACGTGCCACCACGCTGAGCTTCTAATATTTCTTTTTAGTCATGTTTTTACCAGTAAAAAAAAAAATGGTAATTTCCATATATATACATTCATTTATAAATTACAAATAAGTCAGTAATATTGATTATAAAGCATTCCTAAAATTAGAAATCCAAATGTAATAAGATATGAAAGGAAAGAGATGCTATAATATTTTTTTGGTGTCCCCAAGGATTATGGCCTAAGATCATTGTGCAAAACTTCTTATTCATGTGTGAAAAACATGCTCACCTGTCTAAACCCAAAGAATGGAATGAGAGAAAAAAGGTATAGAGAAAGCAATGATGGTCTTACAAGATCCGGAGTCTGGGTGAACAGGCATATCCAGAGCAATTGCAATCAGCTTTTTTACTTCCTTGGACCGAAAGGTCCTTCCCTTGGTTGCTAATTAGCTGAGGACTATGGCAAGTACAGTCTTCCTCAGCATTGCTTAGATCTTACTCTCTCCTATTGGGTTATTTAAAGAAATGTACCTTTAATTTTCCCCACCTCATTTTTTGTTTGTTTGTTTGTTTGTTTCTTGTGGCAGGAAGGTCTTTTTGGGTTGAGTGTATCTTGCAGTTTATCTCTGTTGGTTAGGCTGACCCCTTCCCTCTCACCTCCTGTTTGTCTAAGGTCTGTGAATTTTTCATATTATGAGGTCAACTGCTTGGAACTTTTAATTTTGTTCTACCCTCCAGCTGCTTTTCTTACATCCCAATTTTATATTTAAGCCAACATACTCCATACTCTATTATGAAAATGAACCAACAGACTTTCTATTTCTCATAATGTGATGCTAATCCCCAGTTGGGCACACTAATTGCTTTCCTGACTTCTTTGTAGTATCTTGCTTTCTTTTCTTTTTTTCTTTCTTTCTTTCTTTTTTTTTTTTCTGATTTCTGGTCTGCTATGTAGATCTTCAGAATTCTTGTGCCCTCTTGACTTTTCTTAATTCTCCTATAGCTTATAAGACATTGCTTAGATCTGAAATATTTGCTTCCAACTCTCAGACTTTGTTTCAGTTCTGGGTGGCTGATTTCTCTCTCTTTTTTTTTTTTTTTTTTTTTTTTGCTTTTGTACAACAGTTGTCAGCGAACCAACATGGATATGTGTACTAAATATTCACAATTATTATGTAACAAGTAAAAAAATCTCAGGTCCTCTGTGTCAGTGTAAACCATTGCATTAGGTAGTGTGTATTGCTTTGGCCTTAACATAGCATTCGCCTTTGCTTCAAGGTAAATTCAAGTTTTGTAAGTAACTGTGGAGAGCAACAAATAGGATGGATATTTGTATTCAATCTTGACATGAAAAGATGGTCTTTTAAAATATACCTTCAATGTTTGTGATTTGAAACCTTTTCTTACATTGGAAGGCATTGTGCTTTGAATTTTTTCTTTTGTGATGACTCAGCCCCATGTTGGCCATTCTGCTCTAGGGGTATCTTACTATCACTCAATGATGCTTTAGAATTTAGAAAGTTGAAACTGACTGTTGATTGGTTTTGGTGACTTACAGTTAGTTACTAATTGTGTTTTTTCAAAAAAAAATTTAAATAGATTTAGTTGCAAAGAGAGTACTAAGTATTTCCTTGTAAACTTCACCAAGACATCCAAAATTTTAACATCTTATGTAATCAGAGTCAATTATTGATACAATAATACTAAGTAAATTTCAGACTTTATTTAAATTCAATCAACTGTCTGGATAATTTCCCTATTTTCTGGGCCATATTCTTGTCCAGAAACATATAGTTGCTATATCATATTAATTTCTCTTAATCTAAAACAATTCCTTTCCAATAGAAGAAAGTTACTACTTATGCTTATATTTATCTTTGTTGGGCTTTCTCTTTTCCACATTTATTTATTTCTTTGTTTGTTTAGACTAGTGGATGTTTGTCTTATTAGAGGTTCTAATCAATCACCTAATTACAGTATGGGTTAAAACATTCCTATGATCATCTATTTTATTATTTAAATTGTCTTGGAATTAAGCGTAAATAGCCTCCTCAAAATAACCTTTATCTCCTTTGACATTGCCATCATTTTTGAGACTTCTTCACTTTCTTAGGCCACAAAGAATTCCATATTACTTTGATTTTTTTTTTCTCACACTGCTCTTAAAATCTAACTTTTCTCCAAAGGAAGGACATTATTTCCTTTTTTTTTTGTTGTTGTTATTTATTATTACTCATTCTTTTGATCTCATTCTCACTATTACTGATAACTAAACTGATTCCTTCCAGTTTGACTTTCCTATGGTATTATATTTTTTGAAATTTTATTTTTCACAAAAGAGCAGATCAACATATACATTTTTGCATCTTTTTGCTCTTACATGACAGAGAATATACTATAAGGTCTTTTTTTTGGCACTTTTCATTTTTTTCACTTAGTTAAACTCTGAAAATTGCTCCAAATCAATTTATATATCTTTCTTATTCAAGTTACAACTGCTTTTACATTGATTTTATTGTTTATTCATCTACTGTCCAACGTATGGATATTTAGATATGTTTGAGATTTCAAAATTAGAATTTTCAATAAAAACTTGTTCATATATGCTTTTTTATTGCTAGAAGAATATCTTCAAAATTTTCCATTTCCAGTGTGTAATGTCCCAGCTCCTCCGTATATCCCTAGAATATGTGCTTTCTCTTTGAAAGTTGTGGCATGTTTTCAGACTTGACATCAGTTGATTGTTAGTGGTTTTCAAAAATAACATTCTGGGCTGGGGATGTGGCTCAAGCGGTAGCGCGCTCGCCTGGCATGCGTGCGGCCCGGGTTCGATCCTCAGCACCACATACAAACAAAGATGTTGTGTCCGCCGAGAACTAAAAAATAAATATTAAAAATTCTCTCTCTCTCTCTCTCTCTCTCTCTCTCTCTCTCTCTCTCTCTCTCTCTCTCTCTCCCTCTCTCCTTTAAAAAAAAATTTACAAAAATAACATTCACCTAACATGAGCATTTTTTCTCACTCTCAGAGATGGCCATAAGACTGTCCCCCTGAACTAAAACATAATCTCAATGTGAAGTTCTCAATTGGTTTGGTCAATGAGAGCAAAAATAAAATGTGTGTAGAAATTTTTCCAAGAAGCCTTTTATTTAGCAAGTACTAACTTTCTCATTTATACAGGTTTTAAGTAATTGTAACTGATTTTTTTTGTGTGTGTGATATTTCAGTTGTTTTGGAAATTATTTTATAAATGTGATATCCCCCAACATTCACGAAGTGATGTTGTGTGATTTCATAGTGTAATATGATTCAGAAATGGAGGTAGGACAAGAGATACACTGCTCATTTTTTTCATCTATCACTTTAGTTCACATACACAAAAAAGTGACACAAAAGCATATGGGTCTCCTTTTATAATTCACTGACTAAATTTACAGTCCTGTCCATGTTTTGGCAGAGGGAGCCAGGTTGTCTCAGCTTTATTCTCAATTCATGTTCATTGAACAACAGCAGAGCTCTACATCAAAAGAGACTATAAACATGTTTCTTCAAATGTAAAACAGAAGTAATTATATTCTGCACAGTAAGGAGAAAAAGATTAATGAGCTGGTGCCCATAAAGTACTCATATAAAATGCTCTGGAAAAAAAAATAAAGGAAACTTAAATACACATTTTCATGATCCCCTAAAACAAAATCAGGGAGATTTCCAAGGAGGATTTTTTGTTGTTGTTGTTCTAATCATCTATATATTTGTGTGATGATGTGCTATTATCTTTCCATATTTTATTTAGTACCTTTCTTCAGACTCTTTTGTGTATCTTGTTTTATCTTATGATCTCTCCATGCTCCAACGAACAATTCAAAATATTTTTCTATTGCCATTAGTAAACAATTTATTTACTTCTAATTTACATTTGATGTCTTATAGATCAAAAGACCTTGCTTTGTACTTTAAGCTTTGAAATGTTCCATCTCTGATTATAGTGTATAATAAATAGTAATAATTTTCAAGACACATGGACTTTTGACATCCATCTATTTAAAATTAACCAAGCAAATAACAGCACTAAAAATATGCACATTTTTGATATCTATTTCCTATTGGATATATGTAATCTACTTATCTTTCTTTAAAAAAAATCTTTGACTATGTCAGAAAGACAGTATTTTTGATATGATAATCAAAAACCACTCCCATAACATTGTGTCAGAAAGCACATTATTTTATTCTGGAAACATCCACTACATTCTGTGAATGATTCTTCAGAATATCTTAAAAACATATTAAAAAATACTTTTGGAAATATTTTATAAGCAACACAAGTTAGTTGTGTGTCTATGTGTGTGTGCTTGCGAATGCTGAACAATGACAATTTGTATGGTACTTTGAAAATCTTCCTTCTCTGCAGGTTATCAGTTCTAAAGAACTGAATACTATTTTTGCTGCCAATTTATTAAAACAGCCATACCTGTTGCCTAGGGCACCATTATTCCTTCAGACAGCCACAGTAGGGGAAGAAATTTCTTTTCTTTTCTTACCTAATTAAAAGAAAACAAATGAGCTATAATAGAAATCAAAAAGTCACTGTAGGATATTTCCTTGGGCTATCAGCTTTCCCAGATGGTCATTAATACCAAGATTATAGCACATAGCAATTTTCATTACTCCTTGTTATGTACTACATCTTGAAAACAAGCTTATTAAATATTTGGAAACTGACTAATATCATTGGAAAAAAGAATCATATTCAGTAATGACTTTTCACTGGTTTAAAGATTGATTAGTTAGAATTGAAGAATACCTGGGACAAAAAGCAAATAAACAAACAAAAATATGCAAGTAAAGAAGGATCATCATATAACAACAGCACAGGCAAAATTTTGAGGGTTTGGGGAGAAATATCAGTAGGGTCACTCAGTTGAATATGAACTGATCACATGCAGTGAAACTTCAATTGCTTTGTAGTTTGGGGGATACAAGGGAAGGAAGATCACAGTCCTTGTCCTTAAAATCTGTGGACAGGTGGATAATTTGGACCTGTGTACAATCCAATTAAGTGAGGAGTTTAGGAGACAATTGTGTAGTTAGAGTTGTCTGCAGAAACTTTTATTTAATCATCTCAATGCCAAATAATTGAAATGCCAAATAATGTAGACATTTTATTAAAAATGAATAATTTTGCAAAATCACTCTCATGGATAGTACTATTGATGATTAAGAAACTGATCATTATAATGTTTTGAAAATACTACTTCCTTTAAAAGTTAATAAAAATGTACATGCAGAGATTGGTAAAATTAAAAAAATAGAGAAGGAAAATATTTTTTCAAACCTATGATTATTTATTTTTATTTATGTAGTGGTATATGTGTCTGTCAGAAAAATTTGGTGGCATTCATCAGACCCAAATTGCTCAGCCATTACCTATTAGCACTTGGACACCATTCTCCACTATTGTGATTCTTAAATGCCCTCAATATTTCACAGGCTGAATTCAGAAATGCAATTAGCAAGCTGAATAGCATATCAACATTTGATAATTGCACGTAAAATATACAGCAGATTATGCAGTGCTATTTCTTTATTCACTCCCCCCCCCCCCGAATTTCCATTCTTTTGGGCATGTTTTCTTTTTCTTTCTTTATGCAAAAGTGATGGTGCTGAATGCTAATGAAGTGATGCTTGGTCAAATCCCAAGCAGTTATTTTCAAGTAATTAGTTCAGGCTTTTGTGTTTCTGACATTCTGCAAACATTTTGTTTGGATTCCTGATTTATCTTTCCTTAATAAATAAACTACTGACCTTTAATAGGTACTTGTTCTAGGGAATACAGGGAACAGAACAGATTTGTTTTCTCTGAATGGGTGAGTAGCAAGTTCTGGCAGTATTTTAGGCTTGAACATTTGCTGTGGGTAGCCTTGAAAATTAGCCATTTGGCCAGAGAGCATGAATGCTGGCTCTGGTAGGCATGATTCACATCTCCCCTTTTACCCAACCAACACTGATATTTCTGGTGGGTACAGTAGATGGGAAATTTACCAGCAATCCAGGTGTCTTGGACCATGGAACTCTTTGTTTCTCTCTTGTATGTTCTAATTGTGGCCCAGAGCTGTGGCTGCTTCACTATTTCAGGTCTCACTGGCTGCTTCCTGTACAAGTCTTTCCACATCTATTGCTTAAAAAAGGACCCATTGGAATCCTTACAGTAACCTGTAGTAGTCTTTCCCCTGTTGGGATTCTAAAGATAAACTCCCAAATCGCACAAATAACCCTGCAAGCAGCAGTAGATGTTCCTTTATTGGTCTTTCAGTGCATTCACCATCCATGAATGACTTGATATCTTTGGGGAAACATACCAAAACATTTTTGATGTTTATTTAAAGCAGAGTTAAGAAGATATATATCTAAGATTATGAGATTTATTAGCCTTAGGAGAACTGGTCTTTTAACCTAAGTATCTCAGATACCTAAAAAACCTAGATTTTTGGTTATTATTAAATAGGCACATTATGTCCCTGTTATGATCCTGATTTTTATAGTTTTTATCATTTCTAGATCAGTGCTCTTCAGCCTTCAACCTTTCTATTTATAATAAATTCATTCAATGCATTGTTCCAAACACTTCAAATACTTCTTATATGCCAGGCACTAGACTAGGCTTTGGAATACAGATATGAAGAACACATGGTTCTTGCTTTCAATAAGTTCTGTAAAATGAGAGTCTAATGTGCTCACCAGTAGTTAAAGCACCTACAGTGGTACATTCATACTTTAAATATCAGAGGGAATCAGCAGCCTGGGAAGATCAGGTGAAAGGAGCATGTACAACAGACTCTAACGGAAGGAGATAGGAGATAAAGAGGAAAACTTCTTTTCAAAAAAGGTAATGTGGCAAGCTGAATTTTTATGGTAAGAAGAACAGGAAACATAAAGAATATTCCATTTGGAGGTTGGACTCTGTCATCCCAATATGGATATGATGTAAAACATGGAGATGATTTGCAACATGTCAAAATAAACAGCAGCAAGGATATGAGATTAAGAATCTCTCTGGGAAGCAATTTGAAAATGGTTAAAGGAGCTGAGTAGACATTTATTTAAGAAGACATAAAATAGTGAAGACATATATGAAGAAAAATTGCTAATATTGCTAATCATCAGGGAAATGAAAATCAAAAACCCTGTGCACCTCATAGATAGTTGTAATAGAAAAGATAGGAGATAAATATTGGTAAAACTGTAGAGCAAAAGGAACCCTAGTACACTGTTGGTGGAAAAACAGATGAATACAGACAATACAAAAAACAATATAGAGGTTCTTAAGGTAGTAAAAATTGAAGTACTGTATGATTCAGCAATCCCTCTCCTAGAAATATACCTCATGTATTCTGATGTGTGTTCCACCTCATAATGATGTCTGTTGCAACATGCTTATTGTAAAACTATTCATAATCATCAAGATATTGGAAGCAGCCTAAGTGTCCACTTTTAGACAAATGGATACTATGTATATGGTGAAATTTTATTAAACCTTAAAACAGGAGGAGATCTTGTCATTTGCCTCATCAATGATGTGTCTGAAGGACATTATGATCAATGATGTAGACAGACACAGAAAAAAAATACTGGAAGGTCTCACTCATTTGTAGAATCTAAAAAGGAAAATGAAAAAAAAAAAAGAAAGAAAGATGAAGGCAGGAAGGGAGGGAAACTAAAATTTAAAGAGATGAGAATAAAACAGTGATTGCCAAGGGCAGGAGTAGGGGAAGTAGAAAATGGAGAGATGCTGATAAAAGGATATGAAATATCACATAAGTAAGTGAACAAGAATATACTTCTATGTACAATATAAAGATGGTAATTAATAAATTTCTAATTAGTAAAATTTTATTATGGATTTTTATTAAATAAGTAGATTCTATCACCTCTTGTCACAAAAATAAGGTATGTGAGATAATATATTTTTTAATAGGCTGCACTATAGTGACCAATTTTACTACCTATATGTATCCCATAATATCATATTGTAAACTTCAAACATAGTTTACTAAAAAGGAGGAAAGAACACAGAAAAACAACAACAAAAAAACCCTATCTGAATTTAAAAAAAAAAACCAGCAAAAGATGTCCCTCTGTTGCAATTTTTTCCTTATCAAATTTTATCCAACCTTATACAGATTACATCTTTTTCACACTTTTGTTTTCCTCATCAGTGAAATAAAGTAATTTTGCCATCCTCAAAAGTTTTTTGAGAATGAAATGAAATGATAAAGTTCTTAGAATAGTGCCTGATAAAATAAATTCTACCACCCCCAGATCCAATCACCCACTTGCTTACAGAGGTCTTTGGATTACCATTAATCCCAGAAGGAAGTGTTTAAATTGGGGGAATAAAATAAACAGAGATAAATCTGTGGTTTATAAATCCCATAGTCACCATCCAATGTTGGAATGAATGATATATGTGAGCATGTCTCAAATTTTCCTTTCACTCAAGACGTTAAAATGGCTATAAGATTTGAAGTTAAATCATAATCTAAAGGGTTTAAACATGTGCAGAGAAATACAGGGAACACTTACAGAATAGTTTCACTTCTTTGAGGTCTTAAATTTAGGAAATTTGAAAGGTTAAAGCAGCATGTCATCAAAACTGTGCATGGTCCTGACAGTCAAATGTCCCATGAAAGTTTTAGGAACAGGGTGAGCATTCCTTAGTAAGTCCTGTCTCCTGAAAGTCTGGGCATATAGCCATTCCCAGAAAGAGGCATCACATTTAAGGGAATACATAGAGACAGAGAGTAGAGGGAAGGAATGGGGGAGAGGGAAGGAAGGAGGAGAGGGAAAGAAAGGGAATAGAAGGATGCAGAGTAAAAATACCAAGAAGACTGGCTTGTAATATTAGTTGGTGACTCAGGGGTCATTCACCAGAAGGCTATGAAGTAGACAATTGCCAGCAAATGGCCAGAAGAATGTATAACTCCTCTCCATGGACCATCATCAATGAAAAGTTATAAACGTCTATAGACTGTTCAAGTCACCTTTTATGGGTTTGTTTACCGCTAGCTGAGAATCTGAGGTCATATCCATGTGACCAATGTGGATCTAAAGTAGGTGAACAACAAGAAATAGAAGCACCTGCTCCCTGCCCACCAAAGCAAGGTGGTAGAAATTTTGCAAGTCATCCTTCTCATCCTCACATAATCTCACACATATTAGACAAAACTTCTAGAAGAAGTATACACACACACACACACACACACACACTGACACATTGTAAGGATGAAAATACTTTATGTGACTGAAATGTAAATCTGAATTGACTGAGCCATCAGTGGGTTGGACTGAGTTTATGTTATAAAGTGAGTGCCGCAGTCTGGCTGGGCACACAATCACGAGCCACCACACAGCTTGTAGATTCAAACAGCAACTCTTTATTCCCGAACTCACCAGCCGTCTACAATCACGTTCTCTTCCCAAATCCACCTTCTCTCCCAAATTCACCTCCACTGGGCTTCTATCTCCCAAAATATACTGTCTG